TTTGTTGGTAAAGAGTTTCATTAAGTGGTGTAATTCCGGATCTCAAGAGGAAGGGTATGTGTTTTCTGTTTTGTTTCGTGTTTGTTTTGTTGTTGTGGGTTTTTTTTTTTGTCTTGGAACCGATTCGCTCGCGTTTCAGCGGAAAACGGGACTTGATCCGTTTTGAAAAAGGTCCGTGTTAAAATGTAAACATCTGCTTTTCGGTGCGGCCCTGCGGTGCTTCGAGCACAAACGCCGAGCACTGTGGTAGGAGAGGAGGACTAGAGACGGGTCCAAAATTACTGAAGACTGTAGGCTCATGAAGTCTGCCAGCACCGCTGGAGTGGCCACAGGATTGTTGTGCCGCTGCGTGATCCGTCCGGGAGCCCCGCTATTATAACAAGATCATGACCGGAATATTTTAGTTGGCAGTTCTGCATTTGTTCCATTAGGGAAGGGTAGTACTGCTGGTATTTCTGCTGCTGCCATTCTCTTTTTGTTTTGTTTTTTAAAAAAAAGGCAGTCTAAAGCAATAAGAGATGAATGACAATGTGGTGTTCTGCTGTGGGGTCCGTACTAGTACTGGATATAAATTCCCAGAAGACACCATGTAACTATTGTGCATACAGAGAAGCACTGCAGTGTTAAAATACTAATCCTGGTGGTCACAGAGCCAACCTTGGCTGGAAAGTTTATAAGCCCTGGATCAATCTGCCTATTGCTCTCATACTCGCTTTACACCCGTAAGGACATGATGGTGGGATTAATCGGCGCATTGTTTCTAACTGCACTTTCAAAAAAATTATACATTGAATCTTTGAAATATTTTATTTCTTTAATAATCGTTATTTAACTGTTCCTTGTGCCGCACGAGGCTTTGCTTTCTTGTTTTGTAAAGGTAGGGGGTGTTTTCAGGATGCTTAGGAATAAACGTCTTATCTGTTTTCAGTTACAGCCAGTACCAACGAATGCTGAGCACTTTATCACAGTGTGAATTTTCAATGGGAAAAACTCTTCTGGTGTATGATATGAACCTGAGAGAAATGGAAAATTATGAAAAAATCTATAAGGATATAGGTAAAGATTAAAAAATATTACTGTTTTCTGTTTGACAGTTTCTCCTTTATGAGCAAGCTTGAGCCAGTTCTGGTAAACATAATATACACATATGATGAGTGGTTTGGTTTTTGTTGTGGGGTTTTTTTTCCTTCTTCTTCTTAATAGATAGAACTCATACATATACTATAAGTATCTTAATCAGTATACAAAATACATACAAATAAAAGGGTTTTTAACCTACTGAAGCATATGTAGTTTTGAAGCTGATGGAGCTAGCAGCCACCAATTCACAAACAGCTCTTTGTCTTTTTATAAGTTAGCAAAATGGCTTGTTTACATGTATTTGATTTCACTATAACTCTATTTTATTTTTTTTTAAAGAAAATAGTATAGCTGCAGCACATGAGAAGATTTCTGAATGCAAAAAACAAATCCTGCAAGCAAAAAGGATTCGAAAAAATCGCCAGGGTAAGGAAAAATATCTGTATTTACACTGGTCAGTTTCATTATTTTGTTATCTTTTAAAATACATTGTATCAGAAAATAGATTCCAAATTTTTCAATGTGCAAAGGAATATACTGGCATCATGAATACTATATTTAATCTGGTAGGTTGCACACCCACTACTGAAAGTTTTTGGTGAATGAGGTAAGTGAAATTCAACCAGTAGATCTCAATGACATGCAGCATCAGGAAAACCTAGAACAGTAGTTCAGAGAGATGTTTTCAGGCCAAAGAGAAACCCCCAAAGCATCATATCACAATTCAGGTGACTTGAGAAGAACTAAAGCACGTTATTTACAGTGAGACAAGAGTTGAATGGTCTTGCACCCAGCACTGAAGATCATGCAAGTGTACTCCTTCAGTCCTTATGGGAAGGTAATGTCTTGGCTTACACAGAGACAGTGGTGCTAGTTACACACACACCACCTCTGTATGTGTCCTTGCTGAAAACCTGTTATGAGAGGTGTATTTTTTTCCTTGCTCTAAAAAGTATACACTGATAATTTCAGTGGAAACTTAAAGCATTTCTCTGTAATACTGTCTTACCAAAATACTAGCCATTGAGGAGAAGCAACAATTTGGTTTTTATTGAAAAATGAAATGCAAGAAGAAAATGTTTTAGAGTATAACACATGAAAGGCGTTAACTACAACTGTGTTTCATCAATTTTGTGGATAATTTTAGTCTCAGCTGGAAATCCAAAGAACCTTAACTAGTGGGAATGTAGAGATCTTACGTCTTCACAAACATAGACTTGAAGTGTTTGCTTTTTGATATGTTCTGTCCACCCTGCAGCACAGACTTTTCCATGTGAGTGAGGTAGTTGGCATATGTACAGTCTTACTATCAGGAAATGGCTGTGTTGGTTACCTATATAACGGTAATATTGTTCTTAATGTGTAATACAGAAAAAATCCTGTTGTTTCTCATGCAGCGTTTTGTACTTTTTTCTAAAAATCTTAAATGTTTATGTGTAGCATCTTATCAGCACCATTTTCTGTAAATATACATTAGACTGCATCTTAAACCGGTTGTTATGAATCATGCACAAAAGATCAAGTGTGCAAAAATGCAGATCTATCTAAAGGTCATGTTTTCTGGCCTCATCCTTTACGAATCACCAGCACTGGGTAAATTTGAGTGAGTAGATAATGGCCTACAATCATATATGTAGCTTATTTAAAACCTCTTCTGATATAATCATCTACTTTGAAATGTTGTAACATGGTATGAATTATATTCATTGTTGTATGTGTATATTTGCAGGTACTTTTTTATATACGTAAGGTGTTACGTACAAATTTGAAAAATGTTAAAACAGGTTTTCAAGAAGGAGAAAGAATTTGTACCATTCTATGGTATCTGGTTTTTGGTTCTTGAAGCTATACTTTTAGAATTATTTAGACTAACGATTTAAATTTCTTTCAGAATATGATGCATTGGCCAAAGTTATACAGCACCATCCAGACAGACATGAAACATTGAAGTAAGTATGAGACTACGTTAAATTATAAGCCAGTAAGCTAGAAGTCACCAGATTTGACATTTTCTTGCTTTCAGTTTGACCTTTCCCCACTTCTATATAATTTCTTTTGACACAATAAAAACTTGGGTTTTGTTTTCAGACTGTGCCCTTATCAGCTTTCTTGAGTTAATCTCTATCTCTATGGGTTCAGAAGCATTGCCAATCATTTTGTATTTGAAATTTTTCTGTTGTTCGGGTGAATAAGTGAACTCAGATGCAAATGCACGTCTAATGTCAGTTTACCAGAGGCAAGTTGCTCAGAAACGGGGAAGTGCTGTGAAGTGTGCCAGCAAGAGATTCAGTAGTCATGCAAAATACATAGCACACTGAAAGTAAATTGGAATGAGAGAAAGCAGGAGAAAGCTCTTAGGGTTTTTTTGTGTTTTCCTTGTAGTAGTTGTTCCTGCATGCCTGATTATGAATTACTGTGTTGTGTACCACAATATAACCTGCCCTGACACGGAGGTTAGACCTACCTGTTGTCCAACTCCTCTTGCATGCAACCTATTGTATTGCTTGTGTCACTGTTGGATTTGGATCACTATCTGTGCTTTTGGGTCGTTTTGGGCAGTTGTGGGGAGACAATCTTTGTAACTTTATCAAGCCACAGAAGCATTCCAGGACTCATGGCATCTATGAATTTGTTCTTCTTGAGCTGATTAAACATGTAGCATGGGGTTACTGTTCTCAGGTAAGCCCAGCTCGTGCCTGTCTTCTTGCCCAGTTTCAGTGAAATTGCAGAGGGAGGCTGCCTTTTCATATTCCATGGTCTTTTATAGCAAAAGGAAGATTTTTGATTATATTATTACCCTAATAATAGTGTTTTTATAGCTATAAGCCACTGAGAATATTTCACACATTTCTTACTTGTATGTTGTTTTTCTGTGCCTTGATTTCGTTACCACAACTTTGATTATTACAGGCAATTCTCACGAGGCTTGACTACTTATTTCAGTCGTCAGCATGTGTCATTTATCAAATGAGGCTTCATAATAATTATCAAAAGTGAAGTTTTTCAGAAAAGTCAATTGATTAAAAATGGAAGCAACTAAGTGATATTTTTTTTCTTAAAGGATGCCAGGTTGTTTAGGTTTGGAGGAGTGGTTCTAATTTTGATTAACACATTCAAGCATAAGTTTCTTAAGCAAAGCTAGAAATGGTGGTAAGTTACAGTTGGTAAATTTGGCATTTTGTCTTTTCTTAAACTTCATTTTTATCATCTCTTTAGAAGAGTACATTAAAGTTAGACATACCAGTGTGTTCACTGGAAGAATGGCTATAGTGTATGCCCTTTTGTCCTTAGTCCTTCGTATCTGTAGCCAAAGACAGAGACTTGAACTATAGCAGAGTAGGATTTACCATTTTACAGGTGGGAGAAATAGGACACAGTAACAGGATGGAACATTTTTCAAGGGAGCTTGGTTCATTGGTATTTTAGCTTTAACTCTCCAAGTGAATAAACTTTAAATATAGGAACTAGGTGAAGTTTTCATCTAATGTTTTAATTACAAGGCTTCCTTTCTCTCCAGTTTGAGGAAAGTGTACAGAAAGTCATACTATGAACCAAGAAGGAGCACTCTTAAATCAGAATGGCGGAAGCCTCACTAACAGTGCCACACTTTTCGTGGAATTCTTGATCACTAAAAACACTTGAGAAAACTTCTTGTGAGGAGAAATGTAATGGTTTATTGCAAGAGCTACATTTATAGCTTTTGCAGGTCCTATGGCATAATAGGAAAAAGTTCAGAAAAATACATTTTTTTATGCTTTTGAGGGACTGTTTCTTGGAACAACTAGTCATACAGCACAAAAGAAGGAAGGTGTTATCAGCTTAATCAGAAGTAATGTACAGGAGCCAATTCAGGAAGTGACAGGAGCCTAGCTACTAAATGGCAGTGCCCACAATGTAACTAGCTACAGTATCAGAAGAGCTATTAAGAGGACCAAGAAATGAGCCTAAGTCTTAGAAATGGAGATACAAAAATGAGAAGGCTAGGCAAAGATTCTCTGGAGCAGAAAGTAAAACAAGAAAAATTCCAGATATAGCTTGAATGTTACTGGAAAAAAAAAAAAAATCATGTCTTCTCACATTCTGCTTATACCTGACAGCATAGTATAAACAGCAAGATTTGGCAAAATAGAAGTCTTTCAGAAACTGGAAACCAAATACTGACACTGTGTGAGCCTATAAGCTGTTAGCCTGTTTCCGTTATGGGAAGGGATGATGTCACACCCAACCCTCTTTCAGGCATTCCCTCAAGGTACCAAGCATACAGGCTCAAAAAAAGACAACACCCTCAGGTAGCACTAAACCAGACCTTTCTCCCAGTCGTTGTGAGCGAGCTGGGACTGGAGGCCTTTTTGTAGTTCCCTGCCCAAACTAGTTGCAGCAACTGTCAGCGCTCCAGAAAAAAAAACCTTTTATTCCCTTGCTGACCCCTGTATGGCTCTGCCTGCTAGTTAATCAAGGATGGTTGGCCTCCATCCGCTTCACCTATAAAGAGACAGATTGTTCTCATTGCATGGAGCGTAAATGGTGGTAGGCATTGGAGGAAAAGCAGAAGGGCCAGCCTAGAGGTTTGAGTGTAAGAGTTGATGCTCCATCCTCATTTGAAAGCTGGTGTACGTTATGGTACCTATTATTCTTTGCCCTGCCTCAAAAAGGATTGTGGTGGTCCATGGTGGGTCCAAGTGAGAACACAAAACAATCAAATGCTTACAGAAAGATCTCAAAGAGGTATTGAAAGATGATGTATTTCCAAAGGGTATAAATAATACTGAAGAGTATAGGCATTGTACGTTTCCTTTATCTCTTAATGCTAGAGGCAATCAATTAAAATAAAACCTGGCATTTGAGAAGGAATAGTATTTATATGGATCACAGTGCTGAATTCTGTATGCTGAGGCATAAGCTATATCATATAGTTTCATCAAAACCATGGATTATTCTGCATATGCCTGTTGTAAAGTCAACATGTTATCCAGTACTCTCTCTGGTCAGGCCATTGTCAGAGATAAGGTACTTGACTATGTGTTTGGTCAATTGTTGTGTCTGGGAATTATGTTTGTATGTTGGGTACGTAGGTTTATCAAATATGTTCTCCGTGCTGATGCTATGTTTTTATTTAATCTACTCATGTCAATATAAAGAAATCTGTGCAGTAGTGAAGCCTATGAAGATGCCGTGAATGTGTAATGTAACCCACTTCTCTAACTTCCATTGCAAGTCGAGTGAATAACATGATTCTGGCAGGACTGAATTGTTACAGTCCAAATGCCCAGTGTACAACTGTGTTCAAGCTTGGAGGCCTTGTTTTCTGTAAAAGTCCTGAAATTACAAGTTTGTGACGTAATAGTTTAACATTTATGTCTCCGTGTTATGCTCTGTCTCATTTGTTATGCTCAGTTTACCTATGGTATTTATTTAATGGCTCTTTTTCCTCCTCTTGCTTCAAATCTATTTTTCAAGAATTTTACAGAACTTTTAAAAAATACTATGACAATTCTTTTTCAGGCAGCTAGAAGCTTTGGGAAAAGAACTGCAACATCTTTCTCACATTAAAGAAAATGTTGAAGATAAGGTAGGTTTTTCATAGAGATTGTTGTATAATTATTTGTTAGGAACATAATTAGTGGAGCATCTGCTAGGGGTTGTTTGGCTGTCTGTACTCTCTGTTTCCTAAAACTTATCTTTTTTATCATTCCAGTTGGAGCTGAGAAGAAAGCAGTTTCATGTTCTCCTGAGCACCATCCATGAACTTCAGCAAACCCTGGAAAGTAAGTGGTGTTCTTAGGTAATATATATGTAACTGGGTTGGGTTTCAGCAGATCAAAAGGAATCCCAGCTTCCAGCAGTAGGCTAGCTAAGTGCGATTGAGGTTGGTGACCTCTTGCATTTTTTTTCCCAGTAGTAGTCCAGAGCCTGAGACTGCTCCGAATTTTCTTCTACAAGCTAGCCACTGATGTTTCCTGACTAGCTTCAGATTAATCTGTGGGCAACAGACTTTAAAATGTGAGGATGGAGAATAGCGATTTGAGATTGGTTTTTTTTAAACAGAAGTAGTATTTCTTGTAGAAAAGTACTCTTGTGCATAGTTTCCAGGCTTGTTTGTATCATTCCTGTTTCAGTAGTCTTGAACATGTTGCTGCCATCATGGTATCGTTTGAGGCTTTACTAAAAAGAAACTGGAATGCAGGAAAGCCAAATGACTTACCTACTCAGGCAGTGAGTGCCATAGAACAGGGACTAAAACTGTCGTATACAAGAGCTAAATTCAGGAATTTAGTCATACTTATCTTTTGTCATACAAATACTTAATATTTTCAAGTCAGCGCTTACTTTTCATGCTCTAATAGGGATAATATTGTTTTAAATATTATTTGCTGGATTTTTGCCATGTCTTTCCAATACGGAATAATTGATACAGCCTTTGAGCATGACCTGATTAACATTCAGAGATGGCTATAAGAGCAGACTTTCCTTCTCTAAGGCCATCTAGATCTTCTTAAGCAGAATGAACTGTTAATCCTAGGTGCACTTTAGCAGAAGGCTATTGTTATTATGTGTTACTAACACTTGCTTAAGTATTAGTCTCTAAAATACATTTTCAAATGAATGTATAGATTACCTTTCAGCTTCTAGAATTCTGTGAAGGAAGTAACATTTTAGTGGAAGGCACAGCTTCAGTTTGAGATAAACCTTTAATAGGCCAAGAGAAGGCGTGGAATTTGAAGCAATCAGTACTGTTTGCTTGAATTGACACTATAGGGCTTACCCCATGTTTCCTGTAATAGCTATTACAGACAACAGCCTTAAAAACTTTGAAGGATTTTTTTTTTCTTTGAACATAGCATTTTGTATAGTGAGATACTCAGCTACACATTTAAGGCAATCAATGTAAAATATTTAAGTGGGACACAGCTCTGCAATATAGTCTGTAAATAAAACCAAGCATATCTGACTAACAGTAATGTTGAATTTTAGATGATGAAAAACTTTCAGAAGCTGAAGAATCTCAAGAAACTCAGATGGAAACAGAGACCAAGCAGTAGATGTAATATGAAGAGTACTGAATATGCTACTGAAGAATATCCGAGTATCTTCACTTTGTATTGAAACAAACAGTAAGAGAGATGGAGCTGAAAAATAGTTTTCTACTGTTCCTGTGAATTTTTATACAAAAAATACTTGTTTTGCTTATGGTTCAGTGGAAAACAGTTACAGATCTGTGCAGACAGGCACTTTGCGTTAATCCACAAACTTTGTAATTTGTGACAAGAAATATATTTTGTTTCACAATGGATGAAGCTTCTGCACAGTACTTGTGAACTAAGGTGTTTGCAAAACGTTGTCAATAAAAGGTCTTCACAAAGAGTTTCCTATTTTTAGTAGGCCTTGAGGCTAATAGTAGGGGCTCCTTTTCTCAGTGGCGTTGTACTGAGGGCAATGCATCTTTGCATGCGTCCCAGCTTCCATACTCTAGTCCAGATGGGACCTAAAACTGAACTGAGTAAGGTCTTAGTTTTCCAAAGTAGCTGCCATTTTAGAACCTACCTGTGACTAGACTAGAATTTGCTAGTTTCCTCTAAAACAAATTGCTTCTATAGAATTAATGCTTGTCAAGGGATGTAAACCAACAAAAATCATACTGTGCTAGCTTTATTTTTTTCCTTAAGGTGATGTGAAGCGCTGAATGTTTTGAGTCTCGCTGTGCTGTGTTCTGTGCAACACCTGAAGTCACATTTTGAAATGACATGTTTAGAACTGCAATTTAAAAGCTTTGTTCTTGTAGAACCAGGAATCTAATCCTGGTACTGTTTGTAATCTTCTGGATTTTATCTGTCAAGTGACTATTTTGAAATACATCATAGTTCCTGAAAGAGATGGTGGAACCCTGCCTTTCTTACGATGACAAACAGAAACACTAGAGCAGCAATCATAATGTTAAAGAACCTCAGATACTTTTATTATGAATAGAAAGGTTGGGATCTATCCACTCTGATTATCCTGCAGTCCAAGTAGTCTGTTGGTAGGTAGGAAATACAGGTTTCAACCTTCTCAACAAGAGAATTGAGTATGTTGTAAGCTTTTGGAAGGCAAGGAGAGAGGAGGGAGAGGGTCATGTCACTACCTGTTAGCCATGTTCTAAAACACCTGTTAAATCAAGCCTTCCAGTGGTTTGGGTGAAGGAATGTGTTTTGGATCTCGCTCAGGCTGTGTCATAAGCACACGTGCTTGGAGTAAAATAACGATGTTACACAGAATAGACCCTCCTCCTCAAACTAGGTGGCAGCTGAGGGGGATTTCCAGGATTGTGGCTTTGGACTTTTATAGTCTAAATGCCGTATAATTCCCACTCTGGCTTTGGATCTGTGTGCGTTGGGCTGAACAGACATATCTGAGCTTGTTTTGCTCGCATTCCAAGTTTGCTAAAGGCAAGCCAGCTGAACGAGAAGTCATACAACTTCAGTAGCACAGTACAGCCCTAGACTAATAAGCTGTCAAAAGTCTTCTGGTTCACAGCTGGTCAGCTCAGAATGCAGGGGGAGCTCGGGTTTGCCTTATAAAGCCTGTGTAGACATGCAGTGCTTCTCGTGCACTTCAAAATTTTGCAGATTTTGGGGGGGTGGGGTAAGCAAATAAAAAGGATTTAGTGTGAAAAATACAGTCAAAAAATATTTACTGTTCTATGGTTTTCCTCTCCCAATAACAGTGAATAGTAAAGTATTTTGTAAAGCAGCCATACTAAATTGTTGCCAAATCAGGGAGGAGTCACTTTCCTCAATGTATGAATTACGAAGATCATAAATGACAAAGCCTCAAGACACTTTTAAAGCACGTTAACATTTTTTGTGGTTGAAAGGCCTTCCATGAGCCACCTGGATAGTATTTAGGTGCGTGCAGAGGCCAATGACATTTACCAGCTAAAAATGGTCTCTGTAACAGCATTATCATGAAAACCTCACATTTTCCCATTCTTTGTTTTGCCCAGTACTTTGGAATTTTACTTGGATCACTCAAGTGTCTTAACTTGAAACTTGCACTGCTCCGTATAGAACCTGACCAGAAACGTTCTGAAGCATGAGTCTCTCCCTCTGGTAAGGAACACACATGCAGAAACAAAACCGGTACAGAAGAGACACAATACAAACACACAGTGAAGTAAGGAGGATATTCTAGTTTGAATTACAGTGATGCAATCTTGAAAAGCAATTACTGCCCTAGAAAACCAAGTCGCCCTAGCACAGTGTAGCAGCAGGAGGGTGGTGTCACCATACCACCTTGGAGAGCAAACGAAAAAAAATCAGTTCATTGCAAACGCAGCCTCAATAGGACATCTGAAATCTTTGCTCCTTTTTTTTTTCCAGTATTTAGACCTCTAACCTCTTGAACATTAGACTTGTACCAAAAGAGAAACAAAACCAAATGAAACTCTTAATACTAGGCAACATTTAACCTGCTCTGTTATTAAGTACCAAGTTCCAGCTTCAAATCTGCTATCCATATCTTGGAAACGGATACCTGCATCTCCCGTATTGTTCTGTTGAAGTTTTCTTTGTGTCATGTTTCCAAGGCACAGATGATAGTTGCCGTTTCATCCCTGTCTGGAAAGCTGTCCCACTGCTTACCTGCATTGACTCTAAATGCGCACATATAAAAATCTGTGCATACGTAAACTCAGGATCTCAACAACCACACTATTTAAATAAGAAACCTTTCCTGTTCTTAGGATTCGCCTTGTCCATCTTAATGCCATTGCTATGTGGATGCGAAAATACAAGAAGAAAGAGCAATGCTGAAGTGATAAGCTGACATTTTCTATGCTAAGACTTGTTTTTCTGTCCTCTCCAAACGAGAGAGTAGAACATTGGACAGAATTGGTTAACTTGGGCGTAATTTTTCAAGAGAGATTTAGCAAGCTCCATGGAGGGATGGAGGAAGGAGGAGAAAGGTGGTCATGGTGACACACTGCCAAGTGATGGATAGCTCTGAAACCACGGTAATTTGAAGACAGCTGCTGCCAGCAAAGAAAATTGCAAAAAATACATCCCTAAGATGTAGAGGATAGAAATTATTAATTATTTTAGATACTTATCAGGTAAGTTTTCCAGCTGTCACAGCTGTCTTGTACCATCCTTTCCCCCTCTTTTTTTCTCGGGTCTCAGAAGATTCTCCTCTTTTTGTAAGTTCAAAAAAAAAGAAAAAAAAAATCAGGAATACAGGCAAGTACTGTTAGTTTTGCTCTGGGAACCTGTGTGATTTTGACAATCAGGATGAAGCATAAAAGGTTCTCAAATGTGTTCTGGGGTTACCTCAGCCTTTGTTTCCCAAGTCTGTTTTAGTAAACATTCTTATCTGTGTTGCAGGAGTCCCTAGAAGCACCACTGGTATTCCAGAGCCCGCGTGTAGCTGCTAGGCACTGTGCAAAGGCAGAACAAAAAGGCCGTTCCTGCCCCACGTACTGGGCAGCGCCACGAGAGCTGGGAGCAAAGACGGGCTTGGAGCAGAGCGTCCTGTGCGGGGCACGCACCGCAGCCTGCCAGCAAAACCCCGAGGTTCGTCCTGGCCTGGCGGGATTCACCTGCCTGCTGGCAGCAGGCAAGAAGCCCGCAGGAGCTGGCATGGCGTCGGTGCGTGAGGCTGCTCAGATACGTGCCAAAGGGGCTTGGGGAATGGGATGCCAGGGCTGGGGACCGGGCACATCCTCACCAACCTGTGCGGGGCACGCACCGCAGCCTGCCAGCAAAACCCCGAGGTTCGTCCTGGCCTGGCGGGATTCACCTGCCTGCTGGCAGCAGGCAAGAAGCCCGCAGGAGCTGGCATGGCGTCGGTGCGTGAGGCTGCTCAGATACGTGCCAAAGGGGCTTGGGGAATGGGATGCCAGGGCTGGGGACCGGGCACATCCTCACCAACAAGACTTGGCATCCTCGTGTCAGGGAGTTTCCCAGGTATTCAAGAGTAATCCTAAAGCCAGAGACACAGCATGCTGTGGTCTTTGTCCAGGTTAGCAGAGTCCTCACGGGAAGGATGAGGCGCCTTACAATCTGTGCAGCGTGAAATGTTGGAGAGCTGCTTTCCTGAAAGGAAGGAGCTCCAGGTCTGTCCTCGCTAGAAGCAGGAGCTGGTTGCGTTGGGCAGTCGCCGCTGGCTGGACAGCAGGAGCTGGTACTGGCTGAGGAACTCACAAGGAAGGAGCTCTGGAGCACACTTGGTTTTCTACATTAGTTCCGTTTGTGTTTCATGGAGCTGTCGTGCGGGGCCACGTTTGGATGACACAAACTGTTCAGCCGGGCGAGCTGGCGCTGCCAGTGAGGTGGTGCGCTGACTTACACCACCCTGGGCCAGGCCCCGTGCGCTTATTGACAGCTCCGAAACCCGCACCGGAATGATTCATCGCTGCGCAGATGGGCACCCGTGGGAGCGAGCGGGGACAGGAGGAGTTAGGGAGTTTTGAGTTTCCACCTCACTGGCACAGAACTAATCCCAAATTTCCTCCTTTCCATCGGCACAAAACTAATTGCAGAGACCCCGCGCTCCCGCCCGTTCCACACACCT